AGTTTGGGTTCATATGGGTACGCTTTTGTACGGTATTGCTTTTTGTCCATACGGCTAAATACGCTAATTCGTTAATTAAAATGTCCAGACGATAAATTCTGTCCAAATACGGCCTTCGCACAAAAAAACGTGTTCATACGCCTTTCCAGGATTGGGCAAAGGATGAAATCATGTTTATGCATTGTGTCTCTACTGGTATAAAACCAATCACCTTCAACAAACATGTTCTGAGAAACCGTCTGACAGCTTGCCGAGCTTGCTTCGCATGTGTTCGATCGTCAGCTTGAAGAATACCGCCCCACTAAACAACAAACAAAACCAGGGTTCACGATCTATGGTGGTTCCAAGAGAGCCAATGCCACAGTGCCCAATCAGACTTGGGGGACCCTGGTGAACCACCGAACATGAACAAATCCCTCTAGAAGGGGTTTGGTGACGGAGGTCTTGACTCTGGTCCATGAATTTCTACGACCAACCATGATGAACCCATAAGGACACTACACGGTCAGCAAACCATGGTGATCTACTCCCATGCCAAGCGGCAATCCTATTCCTACAAAGGTTGCTAAATGTCCCTGGTAATCAAAAAAACTAAAGAACATGTTAGCTTTTGCCCCAATTGTTGCCATTTACTGGGGCAGCCAATTTCCCAAAGAGGTTAAAAATTGTCCACTGACTGGGTGATCTTATCTCCGACCTCTTGCAACACACGTTGCCATCACTGCCAGTTGATTCCACCCAGCCTCGGGAACGTCATCTGGCCTCCCACGTCCAAGCGCTTCGGCAAATTGAGCTGCTTAGCAAAGTTCAGATTCTGATTCTAATCCCCAGCACCTGCAAATGTTACAACGGAGTTGTAAAACCGGTAGGAGATCAACCACCTAAACCAGTGGGTGGGAAGCCCGTTTCTTATATGAAGAGTATAAGACCCTAGACAGGTGTGAGGAAGACCTTCTCAACATTCCAAGCCCCAAGCCGATACCATGAGCAGGAACCCGAAGCTCCAACGTGTCGGCAAACATATATGCTTAATTACGTGTGTACTCCGTTTGAAAACAGGACTTCTGGATGTCCTACCCTTCAAGTAGTCCTTTGGGTCTTGGAAGCGTTGAGGTCAGCTGTCACCAAAGAACCCCAGATTACCCACAGGTTGGGTCTCATCTGTTCGAAGCGTCTGGTGGAATCAATTGTCTAGTCTAGGTGAAATCCATGGGATCGAAAATGCCGCCTGCATGGTTGGGTCCCTCATTTTGCAGATTTAAATACACAATTCTCTTGTAGCCTTGATCCAAAATGACCCAAATCGTGTGAGCTGGCTACACTTAGCAGGCTTATGCTACTTACAGTGGGTTTGAGAGTAGATGGCACCATCCCCAAGTTCGGTGGTTTATATGGATCCCATCTAAAAATATCTTGGGGGGGTTGTGCCAGCTACTCTGAAACCACTGTAATTGTGTTGTTGTTATAACATTTCTCGGAAAGTCTCCTTCAATAGAATCCACATTCAGCTCGCACGGGGCCGATGCTGCCAAGCGACTGACCGAAGGCTTCTGCAAAGGGAGCTGCCTAAGCTCATCTGAGCTCGTTGACATGGGCAACTTGTAGCCCGAGCACAATGGCACAAAAAGTGTACACTAAAAGATTAAAAAGTGTGCATGAATGTATATGATAGTCATAGCTCATGTGCCAGCTGCCAGGAGATATTGGGTAGTTCTTGAAGGGCCCCACCCCCGCATTTCCTTCAACCTCACCCAGCGCGCCCTGTCTTCCACCGGGATCCCCGACCTCTGGGCACAGCACGTTGCAGGAGCCCATCGAACCCAACCCGGGCCGCGTGCGCGGAGCCGCCTCGCCGCCGGAGGTTGTGGAACGGACCTCTGGCTGCACAAGCACTATGAGTCACTATGACTTAGTCACCCCACACACACACATATATAATTATATAACCATGATCAATGATCCTGGTACTGCACAATCATTACATGGGCCCACGTAAATGGCCTTGGATCACTGAGTTGGGTGACGTATGGCGACGTCCAACACACGTCCTGCGAAACTGGTGCCTCCCCGAAGCGCAGCTGTTGTGGCACGCGGGAGGCATTCGGCCTCGGACGTGCGAGACTGGGCGCGAACGGGACGGGCTGTCTGATGTCAAAGGAGCGGGACGAGCTATGGCGGGCTATATGGTCTATATACAGTCGAGGTACACTGTCTGATATATATGTCCCTATATATGTACCTCTATATGTACAGCTGTCTGATATGCAGGGTGCACTCCCTGAACTACAAAGTGGACAGTCGTGCAGGCCCTGGAACACCAATTTTTGCTCGACGGGGGTCTGCTCAGCTTGCATGGAGGGAAGGTACATGCGGTCTTGGTTGTATGACTAGATACGAGTATGATGTATGACGTGCATCGACCACTATATACAGTATATGCTTTGATGCTGGCTTGCACATAGCAGATCGTACCTGACACAAGCCTTGCTTTGGCATCCATTCGTCTGCCGTCGCCAGCTTTCCGTGTCCCGGGAATGTGCTGAGATGGGTCAACCTGATCAAGTACTCCAGGGTGCCAGGTGGTTGAGCCTCTCACCAAGCCGTGGAGACGGTGCCCCAAATCTGGGCATTTGCACATCTGCAGTTGTTTTCACGTGCCTTGTCACGAAGTTGGGACCCCAAAAAACGTAAATCTCTCTCTCTCTATCTCTCTCTCTTCATCGCCTGGTTCAGTGGTGGTGCGCTCTTCACGTTGTCATCTTGTGCCAGCGTGGCTGGGTGTCCCCACCCATGGATCTCGCGATGCGCCATGGAGGGCACCTGGGAGCGTTTTGAAGACAAAAATCCAAAGACGTGGTGTGACGGGCTGAAGAATACGTGACATTTGAATTGCAACGTCATGATGCTATCATGCAAGGAACACATGCATTTAAGGAATGTTCATCCTGAAGCTTCCAACGGCCCAAATGATTGGCAAAGGTTTCAATCTACAAACGTCCATGGATGGAATCTTGAAATGCATGCGACCTTCTTTTGGGGGTTGCGTTGTGCGACCCTGCACACCACAACAACACCTATATACCAGGCCAGGACCACCTTTAGTAAATATATGTAAATATATATTATATATATATATATATCGTATGGATATTAATGTATTACATAAACGTGGTCTTGGAATAAATCACAACCAAACAATCCATGCCTACGTTGTAGCTCGCGGTGCTCGCGGTGCTCGCGGTCCTGCTAAGCCAGGTCTGTTCACACAAATCTTCTACAGCCGCTCGTCACGCGATGCGCCCAGAAGCAGGAGGGTCACTTGGAGATTGCAAGCCAATCAGTACCTGGCCCCCAGCGTTGCAGGCAGTGTTGTGGGCCAAATGCAGTCTGAGTTCCAAAGAAGAAAACGTATAAGAACCGGGGACCGGGACTGATGCATTGCAAGTCAAGCAAAGGAAAAGATCTACAGTAATATAGTTGGCAACAAAGCAAACATAAGCAATAAGTGAATTGTCACTATTGACTGAAGTATACTAGAGTTTTTGGTCCCAGTCCAACCAGTATTCGGCCCTGATATTTGAACCACCAGTTTCTTTTCAGCCATCAACATATTTTGGTTGGCACGGGTTGGCATCACTTGCTCTCGTTCCTAACGCATCACGCGCTGTTATATATATATATAACAAGGAATATCGCATGAACTACTGCTTCCCATGATCGAATCCATGCAACATACGTTTGCTCCAATCTTTTATGGTTCAACCTGTTTACAGCCCTTGGTTATGCCATGAGACGTTGGATCCTCATAACATATTATATAGAACATGCTTACAGCCATTGGCATTGGCCCTGTTTGTTCCAAGGAGGTACCTCCTTAGACAACTCCCCCAAGGAGCTCGGCTCGGCTCAGCCGCCCGGGTTCAAACGACCCCTGGTGGCTCCAAACGACCCATCGCGCGGCCATGCAGTTCGGGGCGCCTCTTCCAGCTGCCGCCTCGTTCGACCGAGCTCTGAGCGGCCGCACGACGTTTGGGAGATGGCTTCGGTTGCAAAAGGTGGCAGGAGTACGTGACAGTGAGTGGTGGGAACGAACTAAGGTGACGGGAAAAACGGTGACAGCGTGGCCACCGCGTGGAGCGGCCACCTCAACCCCGTGAGCGGCCCGCCGTGTGCCGCCCGTGGCCCAGAATTCCGAGCTTGGCACCCTTCAGCCATCGGCACCTAAGGATGCCAGCGGTCAGTGATGCAGTGCAACCAACTCTCTCTTAGCCGAAATTCTGCCCACACGGCTACCTGAAGCCTACGCTGAGCATCGCTATAAAGATACAATACTTAGTGCGCAGTGCTGCTATAGCCTCCCGTCCTACAAACTGGACGAAGCAAGTCAAGCATCCTTGAAAGAATCAGAAGTTATGAACGTGGCCCCCTTCAAATTCAACGAACAGTGAAATAGGACCGATGCCCGTTGATCTTCAACGAGCAGAAACCGTTCCACTTTTCCCTGCAGGTTGAATGATTGGGAGAGTGGAATATCAGTCAGCCACCCTAAGAATCGTTGGGCTGTCCATCACAAGGGTCGGACCCTCCATGGCAGGGGTCCGGGGCCTCAAAACCCTATCTGTTTGAGGGCCCGGATTCTTAGGGCAATGAGAATTGAGAGAGTGAGTTTTCAGCCTCGGACAGTCCGAGCCTTCGCGCTCATTCTTTTCCGCCGAGTATGTCCAAGTCTAACGGTCTAACATGGTCTAACTAGGGCCAAGCCATGCCTGGATAATCCAGCTACGAACGGACAAGGGCTCTTTGATCTGACACGGCCGATCGAAGCAACCGATCTGCTCCTGGCCATGAAGACTGTGGTGACTTAGCTACAAGCAGTATCTGAATTGCCCCGAGCAAGTGATGGTGTGTCTCAAAGCAAATGCTCCCCAACCACAGTTCCAAGACATACAATATATGCGTTTACTCGGGCCTTCGTCAATCGTCTATCAGTTTCGTGATGTCCTCGAACACATCGACCTGCCCAAACAAAGGCCCTTCTCTCCTGGCTCTCAGCCGAAAAAGGATGGGAATCGCACGCCTTCAACTACGCCTTGGGCGTGACGACGCGTTCCCAGAAGCGTCAGATTCTTCTCTGCCGTGCTGGCGCCTGGTGAGCTGCATCTGCATCTGCACTGCGTGGTGGGCTCGAACGCCCCACCGCTTTAGGCCTTGCCAGAACCTCACTGAGGGGAATGGGCCCCCGGAATTTGGGAAGGCCAGGAAGCACACAGGAGTGGGATTTGGCTCACAGCCAGCCCTACCATCTCCTGATCAAACTGCACGCCAAGTCCGCCAAGTTCCCCATATGAACCATTGGGAAGTAATTATATAGGATTTGTATGGAGAAGTTCTACTTGGAGGAGGATGTTTTGTGGGGTTGCTGTTCTGTCTAACAGGGCCGCAAACCCAAACGGTCTGTGCTGCTCCTTGCAAGGTCTGTGCTGCCAAGGTGCTGATGCCGACGACCTGCCCCTTGACATCACCGTTCACCTTCCAAGGTCTTTGGGCCAAGTGGACAGAGGAACATGTGGAACTGGGCGCACGGAGTGGCACACGCAGGCACGCCAAACGATATTTGCAACCTCTATACGTGAGCTGTTGAGCATAAACCCCTCCGCTGTGCGCTGTTGCCCAACAAAAGTCATTTACCTGCAAGAGTATGAAGCCAAGGATGTTCACAAGTCCGCTGGTTTGGAGTGGGTTTGGAGTGTTGTGTCTGAGTCTCACGTCCAACTACTCACTAGGAGGTAAAGCATGGTACTGCAGTCTGCTTGGCTGGAATTAGGGGACTAGTCTGTCTTATACAAATTACATAAGGGCATCTTTGCAAACACATCTCCCCTGCCCTACCATGTCCTTGTATCCTCAACCAAAGGAAACGATTCGATCCTGTGACATCGCGCGTGTCGGACTCCCGTGATGAAAACCACAAGAGCACCGACCTCAACGGGACGCCGGCCTGGGACCCGGGCAACTCCTGCACCGGCCAATGGATCTGTGGCTGGCTGGCGGGTACCCAGGCGTCTGAAGGCGGAGCCCCGGGTACCGCGGACGGGTGGACCAGCGCGGCCTGGGAGCCGAAGAGCCGACCAGCGGCGCGAGTCCGGAGGGGGAGCCCGAGCAAGTCGTTTGGGGCACGATCTCAAGTAGCACTCCTTTCGGAATGAAAGAACTATAGGGAGATGAAAGGAGAGATCGAGTTCTTAAAGAATGTATCAGGTGAAAGAGCCCACACTCTTCTTTATATAGGGTCGAGAAAGCAACTCGACTTGTATACCACTCGCCCACCTGGTGCTCTGGCTTTCTCAACGAAACCGAAGGAAAGGACCACCTACAAGGACCACTTACAATGCCCGATGGTTCCCTGGTGCCTGAGGTTTGAGCCGGACTAAAAATATCTAAAAATACCCTCTTTGCACAGAAATTCATCAAGTCAAGGTATGGGTTCCCCTTAACTTACTGCGTGCACAGCTTACTCCTTCAGTTTCCCCTTAACTTACGGCGTGCACAGCTTACTCCTTCAGTTTCTCTGAATATTCTTGTTTTGTGTTTTTTGTTTTTCTTTTACTGTTTTTAATGCCTATATTTAAGGTTGTATACAGTACAGGTTATCCACTGACTGGGTATGACAGAATAAGAGATGGAAAGCGCAAGCAGTTCTGTTCTGTCTTGGGCCAGTAAGTTCAGGAACAGCTGAGATACGAAAATCCACGGATGCATGTGATTTTAGGGAGTGGATGGAATCAAGAATGTCACGCCCTGGCCCGGTCGAATTTCGCGACAGGAAGCCTTCATCTTCAACAGGCCACTCCAAACAATGAAGCCGCCCGCCAGGCAAAAAACAATCCTTGCTGCCCACACGGTCACAAGGCTGGTGGTCATAGCCCATGCAATCCCATCCATCTTACTGGGCTTCTTGCCACTACAACACAGATTACATATTAATATGCTGTTACAGATTGTTACAGTGTATTCATTACTCACCGGAGTGGTCCCTCTTCTTCTGAGAAATGCGAAAACACCCAGCTGGTGACCTGCTGACGAAGCAACCGCAAGATCCACAAAGCTGGGGTTTATGACAGCGGATTGAGAACTCTTTGCAACTATCTGTGCACAAAACTCAAGAGCCGGCTGAGAAAAAACAAACAAACAGCCGTTCGTTCTCTTCCTCGACCATATCTATCGCATGCATCGACCGTAGGGCCCGCCACTCTTGGAAGATGGATCGTTCTTGATGCTCCTTATGATGCCCAAACACGATGCTGGACGAGAATGCATGGACCAGACCAGGACCAGGACCAGAACTCGTGCGTTGGTTTCGCATCCTTTAGCCTCACCAGTGGAGTTGGTGGTTCCACTGGGCCAGGTGGTTCCACTGGACCAGGTGGGTATTGCTACACGCAACCTGAAGAACCATGGTCGAGTGTCTCAGAGTGTCTACGTCTTGGCAGTCGGAATCGTTTTCGAACGACTGGGACTGGTTGAAGTCTTGCTCGATTTCGAGTAGCCAATCCCAGACACTCCATGTATGCCATCTATGACTACATTGACCCCCAAAACCACCCCAATGTAGGCATATATGGCAGTCCCATGGAGTGTCTGGGAATGCTATGGAACTAGAACCCTCAAATGTTGAATTTTGGGCGTCTCGAAGCCTGTTTGGTGCCAGCTATGCCAGGCCGAGGGCTCGATGCAACGACTGCGAAGAGAGCTGTGATGGGGGTGGAGCTGCCCACGTCACAGTCTTCGACGCAGCATTCAGTGAACACGGTGGCCAAGAACTCATCACAGTTGCTGATCTCGGTCCTTAGCAACCAGTGGCTGAGAAGTCAACCACAGTCTGGTCAGCATGAGTCCCTGGGACCGAAAAATCCCGCTGGACCTGTAGCAAAAAAAACCTCTACGTTCATCTACGTTCCGTGTTTTGCCTTGTGTTTTTTCCTATGCGCACTTTGGGTTATTCGTTGCCGTTGAATATTTGGTGGAGGCGCATGCAGTCCTCCGTCTCGCAGGCGATGCAATCATGGCAAACAGTTTCATTTCCAATGAGGTTGCTGCATGAGCTGTTCATTTCGTCCTCGGAGAGCAACGTGCAAAGGCCTCCTGCGTCCTCACTGGGCTTTTCGACGCTTCGATTGCTCCCTTTGGAGTCCAACTACTTTGTACATCATCATTGCCCCGTTCTATGAACACACCGAGCTAACGTGAACTCACCGAGCTATCTGTGGTGAATGCAAGCCTTGGACAGAGTCCGACGGAGCCGTTGTTCCGCTTTCCCCCTCCAACATCCAACATCCGTACGGTGCCAACGGAAGCATCCATGTCTAGACATCCAGACCATCCATGTCTAGACATATATATATATATATTTTTTTATAAACTGTATTCACCTATATAAATGTCATGTTGCAGTCCCAAGGATGGTCTGGAAATCATTCATCTGTGAAACAATAAAGTCAACAAACTGCGGCTTCGGGTACGATGACCTCATGACGTGACTGATTTGCCTAGATTCCAACATCAACCACTCTCGAGAAATCTACTCCAAATGACCCAGAAATGTAAAAAACTATGCAGCAAGGCCCCCCCCAAATCCACGATCTAGGCATATCTGTACCACTTGTGATGTGGCTCGCAAACGAGACATTCAATGGTCCGACTCTGCGTTTCTGTGGATTTCGATCGCCTTGGGTGGGCCGTTGTCCATCGAACCCCGCACCCTACAAACCAGAAAGTCACATCCCGCCAGCTACAGTAGATTCCGGAAGCGTCAAAATGGCGCCATCATAAGCCTATCCTAAAGGACCATGCGGCAATGATATGCACCGGTTTGAGATTCAAGAGCCAAATCACTATCTTCGTTGGATCTTCGTAGATTGAGGTAACGGTGGGCATTCAACCCTGAAAAAGAGAAACGACTATTGTCCTGATGTCGTCAGTGGCTTTGGACTGATTTTGGGTCATTGAGATCAATCACTTCGAGTTGAACACGACAAACACGCCGTCCACGGTTACCCTTGGTCACTCAAGCAAACGTGGTGAACAAAGGGATAAAGTTACAGTAGATTGATCTTCGCCGCTTAAAGCTCGAGAATGGTCAAGATTATATAATTGTGTCTTTCTGTGTGTTGTTTGTTCATCAATGAAATGGAACAACTCAAAAGCAGGCTCAAACAGCCTGCTGTTTAATGGAACAGCCTGTCCCGACATCGCCGGTCCTGGGGATCGTAGTAGGTCCCATATCGCCTCCGGCTTCCAGCAGATAAAAGCACGACAGCCGCAAAGGCCCCGGTGCTGGCATAAGCAGCACGAGAGGCCACGATACCACCACCTTTCAGATCTATAAAGCGAGAGGCCACGAAGCAAAAAAACATGGATGTTATATTGATGGCTTGAAAACAACGGGAGGAGGCTTCAACCACAAATTTCATCAAATATCCACACCTAAACAGTTGAATCCTTTCTGCCTTATGATTGCAGTGATGATTCTTTTCGCCTCACTCTTTTGGTGCCAATCAAAGCGCATCACGCCCAAGTCTTCGGGTGTTGGGTACTTGGTCATCTGCTTCCCCCCACCTGAGTAGACTCCTCCGGTGCCGCCATAGCTTCCACTCGCAGTTCCACCTTTCCCGGTGGCACGCAGCAGTAGCAAGGCCCAAATTGGCCAAAACATTGCTACCTTTCCATCATGGCAACTTGAGCCGAGGGGGATAGATGAATGGTCGTCGAGGAATCAAAGCAAGAAACTGCAGCAAAACAACGATTGTCTTGTGACGAAAATCTTGGAATATGAAGACTGCATGGTCTTTTTCCAAAAAATAAGTCACGTAGTCACATAGGGTATCTAGTACCAGTAGCAGGATTTGGTCCACCAACATTGGGACGGCCGGACTCAACATGAACATGTCCACTAGTTTTCTGTGCTACATATACCCAATCGAGGAGCATCTGGACCAAGCTCTCGACTGGCATGTCGCTTTGCGACCGCGTGGAGAGCAGGGAGGCCTGATGCCAGTGTGGTGGTATAGACCGGACCTGGTGGTTTCTAAAGTTATTTTCACTATCTCTGGTGTTGGCATAAATTGGCATAAAATCCAAGAATGGACATGTATTTATACTGTGTACTATACATGTCCCAATGCTTGGCTTCTTGGTTGACTTCTGCTTGTGGCTTTCGGCCTCTTAGGTTGGGAGTGCCCAAGATTGGCCTGGAGGCTCGTTGGGTTTTAGTAAGGACCTGCCGCCGACGAAGAGGACCTCACACTGCCCAGAACAGAAAACCCTTTGTGAACACCCGAGGTGTCCGACGAGGTCCTTGGTGCCCCGAGGTCCTGAGCACCAAGGTCCGCTTTCCGCCGCATCGGTCCTGCTATAACCATCATTCAGGTTGAATGTACATTCCAACCGACGAACACATCACATGGAAGTTGCACATTCCACCCCCCCCGTGTTCTAAAGGAATATAATATATATATAGTCTTCCCCAGGCATTTTCCACTTCCATGTTAGTGAGTCGAAGGGTACATCGAACTAGCGAGGCAGTTAAAAGGCTCCAAACTGGTCGTTTTTTTTTTTTTTTAAATAGTTGGAGCCCTCGAAATCATCTGGAGCACACCTATCAACTTCTAAACTGCTTCTCTGTCACAGGTCTCCGGGCGTCATTGGTCCGTTGAGAGGCCAAGGGCCTTGGAGGCGTCTGGTGGTCCGTCGGGCTGCAAGTGTTGGAGGGTCACCCCCCTGGTTCCGCTGATGCCCAGTTCAAAACACTAACCCAACACCTTTCTGGCTCGCAATGTCGACAATCCGGACATCTTCAGGGGAGAGTTTGTTCGAGCATGTTCGAGCTAAGGAGTCGAGCAGTTCAGTGAGGCGAAGCGGCAAAGTAGCTAAAGAACTTGGAATATGTTAGAATTCAACACAGCTGCTAGTCTTTCTGGCCTTTCTGCTCAGCCATCGGAAACACGCAGCACCAACAAATGCTCCATGATTTCCGCCAAACAGTTATATGTAGAAAAGACCACTGGGATCACAATCTATGGAATCCAATGCGTGCGAGGTATCCAAGACTCCCCTTTCGATGACCCAAAGGGGGATTATATGAGTCATCTTCATATAAGTCATCTTCACCTGACTTGGCGGAGTGTAGCCGTGTGCCTCCCCGAAGCCAGCCCCGCACAAATCACTTTTCCGCGCTTTGGCACGGCTGGAGCACCCCCGGCCTGGCGCTGGTCTGCAGCACGACATTTCTCCGAGGGGATCAAAGGAACACTCAAGACATCCCGAGACTCTTGGCTCACTTGGGAAGCGCAGTGATTTTTGTGGGTGTGGATTTGCCCCACCCATAGAGATTGAGGGACTTGAGCCCAGAGTTTTGAGGGAGCAAGTAAAGACTATGGCAGGTGAGCATGCCTGTTCATTGGGGCTCTACAGTACCTACATGCTGTGAAACCCCTCTACTGATGTAACGTTGCTTGAAATGTGACCAAACACCCAGTCATGCCCTTCTGTTTGTGGGGGGTATATGGATTTGGTCCCTCAAAATCAATCCACAAAATCACTCGAAACAAACATGTTCTCCCACGAAAGGAGTGCATGTTCATCTTCATCAAGGCCGGGGCTCATAACACCTAACTGACGCCGAAAGTGTTTGCCTTCCACTTGAGTAGTAAAAGAGCAAAGCCGTGCAACACCGAAGGCCCTGTGTTTGGATTCTTCTGCTCGTCTGCTTCGAAGAAGCAAACGCGACTGTCGGAGGGTCCAGGCATATATCACCAGCCACCTCAGCCACCTTACGGATCAACATCTTGACAGAAAAGCGAGCAGTGATCCAAGGCATGCCTCCTGATTGGTGTATATTTGTGTTCATCCTTCCTTCCCTTCAAAAATCACCTTTAGCCTTTAGCCATATAATGCCATGGCCATATTTGAGACACCACAGCCACGGTCCGGTGCGGGGAGATCCCGGTGGCCTTAAAGGTGGATCGCTCCTCCTTTGGGGACTGGCTGGGTGACCAATGCCTGGGAGCGGCCGAGTCGACTGAAGCATTCAGCACCAGGTGGCACCGTGCCAGGTCTGGAAAAGACCTTCCAAAGCTTCACAGATCCTGCACCCCCAGGTGTGGAGAAAGGCGTTGGCCACCCGTGACCCACCCAACAGGAGGGGTCACGTTCTTCTCAAGCGCTTCTTTGAGGACTGGATGTGGCCGAGAGGACGCTCGAACTGAGCTTCACTCGTGGGTCGGACCGGTCGCGCTGGACCGGATGCCTGCAGAGTGAAGGCATGCTGGGCAGAGGGGCGCAGCTGCATCGAGACGTTGGCCTGGAGACGTTGCATCGGCGTGACCGATGAGACAAACGGGGAAACAAAGCCTTGGATGTTGAAGCCATGATAGCTTGGTTCGAGGATTGTTTTTAAGTTCTCCAGGTGTGATCGGAACCTCTGTAGGTCATTGGGGTTTTCATCCTCAAATCTTCAAGTCTCCGCAGTTCTTGTGGAACTAAATGGAGCAACACTTAAATGGCTGAAGTAGGAATGCTCATGAGCATTGGAACAAGGATGTGTCCATTGTACATTGGAACAATGGACACATCCCGACAATGCTAAAGGACTTCCGGCCACCGCTCCGAGGTATTTGCCGCAGCTCACTGCAGCCTGTGCACATGTACACTTCATTCAGCTCTTAAGTCTAGAGGCGTGCAGTTCCCCTATACATGGCCATGACTATGGCCATGTAGTCATGGCCATGTATAGCAATCCCAAAATCATTCAATATCATTTATTAGAAGGCATATCATGTCCAAGAACAGTTAACATCTATATACCGTGTACACCGTTTACACCATGTTTCACTTGGCCTCCTTGGTCGATCCACCCGGGCGCCTTCGCACCGGTGGACGCCCGTAGCCTGGAGAGCTTGGGGTAGTAGCCCACAGCCACCTGGGAGAGCGCTGCGGGCGCTGCGGGCTGTGGTGGGTCTGCATCATTGTATCTGATATGTTATGATGTTACATGATTTACGATGTGCTAAGATGTGCTTAGATGCACACATGTAGAAACAAAGAACATACAGGACCGCAAGGTCATCCCGCTGGTCCTCGAGCAACAAACGACTCACGACGAAAAGCGAACGACTTCAGCGGAACATCGACTCCCCTGGCAAGCGTGGGGTTCTGGTTGGGCCTGTTGGGTCCTCTGATGTGGGTCTCACAGCTGCAGGACTGGGTCCCTTCCAACTGGTGAGACTGGTGAGGAGTACGACTGGCGTTGTACATGGCCAGCTGTGTCTGCCTAACATCTCATAAGTATGGTGGAAAACGTATAGAAAGGCAGAAAGGAAACCATTGGAGCAAAAACACCAAAGATAGGATTAAGAGTTCAGAAGCCTGCAGGTGAAGAGTATGTCCAAATATTTTTTTAATGGATTTTTTATGGTTTGGATATGATCTGGGAATATAGTTTTTTTACAATTTTTTTTGTGAAGCCGCAATTGGAATATGCGGCACTGTTGGGTGCTCGCTGTGCCCTTCCTGTGACCACGCAGCCGCCCCTGGAAGATCGCAAGGATCCGGTTTTGGGGCTCCTGTTCAATATTCCTGGTTGGGTGTTTTACGTGGGTTTGGGGGTACTTGTGAGGAGGGCCCAGGGCCTAGGGCGGGGCGTGTGATGGCAGTCCCCTAGAGGCCCGACACCAGACTCACACCTTTGTGCAAAGTGTATTCTTCCCCATAAACAAAACCTGGAGCTCTGGAGCCACCGTATTTTTTCTGTAAAGAATCCATATTGTTGGAGAAGGGTGCAAATCATATATATATATATAAACCATAAAACACAGTGTGTTTTATGGTTTTTAGAGTTTTTTACTTTTCTCTAACTATTGAACTCATAAAACTACCAATCTGCCCAAACCATTAAAAAAACATAAAACACAGTATGTTTTATGGTTTTTATATGATTTGCATCCTTCTCCAACAATATGGATTTAATATGGATTGTTAATGGCCTTTTTCAGGCCCTATGAGGTGAGCCGAAGCACGTGCCAGACATACCCAAGTGTGTTGCCTGGGGGCCTAGGGCGCCACAATTTTCCAAGTTCTGTGACAGGTCTGATAGCCCCCTACATGAGAGTTTCCAAGTTCCCCTATATGAGAGTTTCCAGCTTGCCCACTGACAACACATTCTGCTTATTGCAGCCCTGGAGCGCCTATTTAATAGGCCTATTTAGTAAATTTAGTAGTCCTCAATCCATTAAAAAAAAAACACATAAAAAAAACATAAAAATATCATAAATCCAATTTTAGCCTTTTTCACAACCATAAAAAAACCATAGCTCCAAGCCATAAAAAAAACATTTAAAAAACCATAAAAAAGTTATTTCTGGAAATGAGCCCTGTGCAGAGGTTATGAACTCATAAAGATAGGAGGAATAGAGAAAAACAATAGAAAATAAACACATTAAAACACAACACAATTCCAACAACGAAATGGAAAAACATATCCATGTCCATGCGACGCTGAGAAGACAAGCATTTGCTTGCGCACGTCGCAAAAAATGTCAAAAGTTCTCTTTGGCTCTATATGATCGTTCAGGTCAATTCGTGGGCCGTGGGGATGGCGCCAGTTTCAACAAAGAGTCGCACTTTCACCTGGTGTTCATTGAACATCAATGAGTTGCAATTCATGTCCCACCTGGCGACTCGGATGGCATGATCAAGCAAAACCCATACAAACATTAATCTAAACCGATCATTGTCGGTTCTGTCACCTGTGCTGCTATTCGGTGTGACAGGTCCACCGGTCCACCTGTGCATCAGCAGGTGGCCGCTGCAACTCAGGTCCACGCCGTTGCACCTTGCACGGCATGTTCCACTCGTCCACCCAGGATGCACCGGACGATCTCTTCAGCGCCTTCGATGGTCAGTTGAGGGTCAGTCGAAGACAGAGCCCCG